CTGCTGAATCAAAGTCTGTTCTCCTTCATTCTCATTGCCTGGTCTTCATTCCTCCCTCTGAAGCCACACAAAATAGGTTCCTCTTGCCTCCAAGAATTTCTATCATATCTTACCAAGATTTTTCATTCTTCCTATCATGGATCTTGTACTTCCTACTTCTTTCTCCACCTGCCACCCATTTTTAAAGAAATTCATCCTATTTTAATATATATTTATATGAACATATATATTCTTAGATATATAGATATATATGCCTACCTTTTTTTTTTAAGGTTTTTGCTATGGAGACAGAAAGCAAGAAATAACTCTTCAGGGGGAATGGCCATGCCACAATCCCTTCTCCTCCATTCTCCTCTTGGGTTCTTGGGCACACACACACATGGGCCCGGTGTGAGTTCAAGCCATCGGGTCCGGGACTCAAACCATAGTCAACTATATGGGAGTCCAGTGACATAGCCATTACACCAATTGCTGGTCCCTATGCATACATTTTTAATGAAAATACTTTTTTTTCTGATAACATTTGACCTTGTTTTTTTCTTTCTACGCTGGGTTGCTTCTGGATCTCTCTTTCTGAATTTGTTCCACAGTATGTCCCCAACTTTTTTTTTCTTTCCCTCTATGTCCAATGATCACACACAGTTAAAGGTTTAAATGGCTAACTGTAAATGGTAGGCAGTGAAGTAAGGGGCAAGTTTCGTTGGTTTTACCTGATGGCTAACTTTATTTGGACAGAGAGGACATAAACTAATGTCAGGGGTCACTGAGCAAAATGTATTTACCATTCGTTCATTTTTCCAACACACATTCAGTAAAAACAATGTGAAAAGATTTGGAACCTAGGAAATGCACAGTTCTTATGTTTTGGGGCACAGAGTATCACTTTACATTTCTAGGAAGTGGTTATTTCCAACAGCTAATGGCCCACTTTCCCTATAATCTAAGGTTATTATTCCATTGTAATATATGTTTCATGAGATAATTTTGGAGTATACAAATGAAGGAGCTATTTAGTGTCATCTAGAGCCAGAACACAGTTGCCGATTTTCTGGTTTTGATGTCTGTAAGTCTAGCTTTATTGATATATGCTTTTGGTTTCTCAGGACATAAAGTTGCTATTTATATAAGTGGTGCCCTCCTGGGACTGACCATACCTTCATACAGGACATACAACTAGGTCTGGAGACATTTTGTCACAATTTGTAAGTGCCAGTGTCATCTAGTAAGGGAGGCCAGGAGTGCTGTTAAGTGTCCCACAATGCTCAAGACAGCTACCCATACCCCACTCTCACCCAGCCCTAAATGTCAGCAGTGCTGAGACTGAGAAACTGATTTACACTGAAATTTGTTTCATTTTGTTGTTTTCTATTTTGGCTTTTTCAGAACTTTGTTTCGCAGTTGATTTGTAAAAGTCATATTCATATTTGAATTATGTCATTTCACTGTTGCTAAGTGAAGTGTGTTCTGTTTTCTAATGAAGTGATTTCTCAAATTACAGTGCCGTGTGTTAAAAAATGTAAACTGAGGAGCAAAAATATTTTAAAGAGTTTGAGCAAATAATAATTCATGAATCGGCTGCCCCAAACCAGAAGTGGTTCAGGAACTCTACAAAGGAAACACAAGAATGAGGTTTTTATAGGACAAACATAGAAATAAAGCAAAGAAAACATTTAATTGGTTACAGTTATACAGTTGTTTTCTTTGTTCTATCCTGTTGGAATGTCCTTAGTTATGTAATTACAGCATTGTTGGCTGCTTCTGATTGGTTGAGCTTAAGTTCTATTTTTCTTTAACAGTCATTTACAAGAAATAGCTCAAGTTAATTTTCACCTATGCTTGTAAACAAGTTAGGCTGAGGTCACTTATGGGTCTGACTTTTGTGTGCTCAGGGGTTCTTCTGGCCTGGTATTCATTTAAAATTTGATGCTTGTTACTGCCGCTTATTTGTTTCCTTACAAACAAATGATATCACTTCCTTTTACTTTAAAATTTAAAAACTGGCTATTTTGATATACTTGGCATTTCCTTAATGGAACAGATATGGTCTACGATAAGCAGATTTCAAATCCAGTGCTTAGTTTATGTACAAATATAATTATACACTGTGCATATTATTATGCGTGAGAATTTATAATGTAGATATCAAAGGCTACTTACTGTTGTCTAAATGTAAAAGTGCATAGCTTACATTTTTTATGTTAGATCAATGTTGATTTTCTTTAAACACATACTTACTGAGGCCCCATTCTGCGTGATCCCCCATCTAGAAATAGGCTTGTAGAATCAACCAAAATAGACAAATCTCTTCCCTCACAGAGTTCATGTTCTAAATGGGAAGAGAAATAGTACTTGAATATACCAATAACTGAATGGACAATTTCAGTAAGTGGTAAGTTGACGAACACACACTAAGAAAAAAATATATATAAATATATAAGTAGATGGTAATAGGTAGAGAATGGACAAGAAGACAGCATTAGTTAGGAGGTCAAGGATAGACTCTCTGATCATCCAGGTTAGATGAAACATGTCATGAAAAGACTTGGTTTGAACTGGGCAGCTGAAGACACTGGCAAAGAGAGTTCTAGCTGACAGGCCCTTAGAGCTTTTACAGCTGTCATCATTTCTTCTCACTCTGCATCTTCTTGAGAGTTTTACTTACTGAAACCCTCTCAGATGCTTGCCACCACCCCCAGGGAGTGGCAGGAGTTGATTCAAGAGTTGGAGGACATTGGGAACCAACAGTTAGTGTAATGGCTATGTCGCTGGACTCCCACGTAGTCGACTGCGGTTCGCGTCCTGGACCCAGTGGCTTAAAACTCACGCCGGGCGCGTGTGCGTGCGTGCCCAAGATCCCGAGAGGAGAATGGAGGAGAAGGGATTACAGCATGACCTTCCCCCCTGGGGGGTGATTTCTCGCTTTCTGTCTCTATGTCTCTCTCTGTCTGTCTGGCAAGCGCACACACCCTATAGCGAAAATCTTTCCAAAAAAAATAAAGAGTTGGAGGACATTCAAGAGATACTCAAGATAGAGAGGAAGTGGGTAAGAGAGACTAAAAGCCAAGATACCAGGTGAGAAACCACTGAAATAGACCAGATGAGAAGTGATAAAAGTCTGACAGACCCGGGGCAGTGTCAGTACAGGAGCACAGGGAGAGCAGATTCAAAGCAGCATGTAAGAGGTCCAGTGAATAGTGGGGGTGGCAGGTGTGGTTGGGAGAAAGATGGCAGCGCTGATTGCAGTTTCTAACTGGTTTCAATGCAAAAGATGGCTATTTAGAACATCCTGCAGATTTCCTTGAAAAAATTAATTTTGCTTTCATGTCTCAGATTAGAGGACATCTATGGGTGCCCTTATGACTTTATTGAGGTGTTCGATGGACGGCAAGCTGCCTCACTCTCCATGGGCAGATATTGTGCTGGGGCAGAGCTCACGTTCTTCTCCTCTTCAAACATCATGACCGTAGTGTTCAGAAGCGATGCCATGATCACCAACACAGGATTTTATGCTCTGTACAATGCTGCTCAGCAAGATGAAAGGGAAAGTGGTAGGTACCTTAGAAAAAAGTTAGACCTGATTTGTGCTCTTTTCCTGTAAGAGAAGAGATGCTTTCTAAATCCAGCCTGCCTAGTTCATCTTCATTAATGGCATCCTGAGTGACAGTCATGCTGACACTCCCAGCCTTCCAGCCCCACTTCTCACCCCTGTTCTGCCACTTCCTTCACCCAAGCATTCTGGCTGATGAGAAGTCTCATATTTTGCATTGTCTGCATGCACGTAGATAGAAAACCCTAAAGACTGCCTCCCTCTCCAAAGGATGGGAAAATGCAATAAGAAAAATCCTTCCAGAACAAAGCTATTTCAGACTACAACCACCAGTCCACTTTCTTCCAGCTGAATTCAATACAAAAACCATCTAGAACACCCAAGGTCCTCTTAGATTCTGAAGCAGTATGTGGGGAACACTTGGAGTTCTCAATGGCTTCTGCTTAGGGTGACTTAATTTATCCACCAACATTTTAGTTGAAAGGAACTGTAAAATAACTAACAATCATTTATTGATTCACAACAGTGTAAACTAAGACTATACCGGACATATCAGGATATAGGGCCACCCTACCTAGGGTTCATTAATCCAATAGGAGAATATGCCCAAGTGCAGGAGAAAATTTTCTACTTGAAAGTCTTAGAGTTTGGGGGCAGCATCACAGCTCAGAAGCCCCCGTTTCTCTGTCCCCCAGGTATGTCTCTGCGACTGGTGAACGGCAGCCACAGGTGTGAGGGCCGGGTGGAGGTCTCCTACAATGGTACCTGGGGCACAGTGTGTGATGACAGCTGGGACCTGACAGATGCCAGGGTGGTGTGCCAGCAGCTTGGTTGTGGTGAGGCCCTTTCAGCCCCAGCTAAGAGCTACTTTGATGGAGGCACTGGTCATGTTATGCTGGATGATGTGCAGTGCACGGGGAATGAAGCCAAGGTGTGGCAGTGCACACACAACGGATGGTTCTCCCACAACTGCGGGCACCACGAGGACGCTGGCGCCATCTGCACAGGTAGGTGCCTGGAAACACACAGCACACCTCAGGGAAAGTCTCACCTACCAACAGCCACTGGGAAGGGAGACATTAGGGCCAGCAGGCAATTAAACAAGCCCTGGGCTTTAAGCCAGCTTTTTAGATCAATTTGCATAAGAGTTGGTTGTCTTTCTTTTAAACGGGTGCATCTGTAAAATGTTCACTTAAAAAGTGGTGATGAGTGAACAGAGGGTTTGCATTATCAGATATCCTACTTCTGGAATGATATGCCATAGTGTTGGTGATGATCCACTCTGTCCTGAGCAAAAACAGTGCCAGGCTCTAGGCTAAAATTGGTGCATTCATTTTTCCATCTAATCCTCACAGCCCAATAAAGCAATTGGCTGCTAACCATAGTGTACTTAATAAGGTAGAGAGCACTTTGGTTCATTGATGAGGCATCTAAGGCATAGCCAAGATTATCTTCAGGTCTATACTCTATTGCCTTCCCAAGGTACTGTGTTACATACTGAGCTCGACTCTGATACAAACGATTGGCCAGCCCGATAGCTGATAAAAACAAACAAATTCCAGGTTTTATTTAAACCTACCTCAGGAAACTAAAAAGCAAGTGTGCTCCCTCACCCAGCAGGCACTGCCATAGGCTGCAACTCTTTAACCATTGCTGGATTTTGACACTACATTCCCAACTGCCCAGAATAGAATATGTTTGAGCCTAATATATATATATATATATACCTGATTTTGTGTGTGTGTGTGTGTGAATTATGTGACCATCTTACTCAATCTGTCTCTCATCCTCTCTCTGTCTTTGAAAAGGTACTGATGACAGTTCAAACAGAGGACTAACAGGTATTGCTTTTCCACATAGTTTAACCAGTTGCCAGGTCCCTGTTGCATATAAATAAATCCTGGCTACATTTTAATCCTCAACTTGGGGCACAGTGCAATTCAATTCTCTGCTGTTAATTAACGATAGCAATGCAGTCATGAGAGTTGACAAAATGATGGGGCAGCAGAGGGTGGAAAGAGAGGAGAGAAGGATAATTCCGATTTCCCAGGAATGTAGTCTCTCGGCCACTGAGATTCCCTAAATCGGCATCTGCAGTGAACAGGGGATTAACTGCTTGCAGTCATGATGCGGCTGTGATGATGTGTACGGTATTCTCAGCTAGGCTGGTCTGAGGTGCATGTCATGCTGGGTAAAGTCTCGTTACAATCTAAATGAGAAATAGCAACTGAATGTATAAATAATAATAATAAACAACATTTTAAAAAATTACAGTTAGATAGGAGAAATAAGTTCTAGTGTTCTAGGGTGACTTAATTAATAATAATTTATTGAACAGTTCAGGATAGCTTGAAGAGAGAAATTTGAATGTTCCCAATATGAAATAACTATAAATATTTGAGATAATGGATAGGCTAATTACCCTGATTTGATCATTATATTAATCTATGGGAAACTCATATTTTACCCCATAAACTTTGTATAATTATTAGGTGTCATTAAAAATAATAAAAATGTGAAAGGGACAAAAAAAAAAAGATGCTGGAGGGAACAAGGAAAAAGAAAGATCAGACCTTGACAAATTGTACAGAGTGATATCCATACGCATACTTGGTGTGCAAAAGTCCAAACTCTTGAGGGGTGAGAATTGTCTCTAGTCACTGAGGCACAGAAAATTATAGCTTTTGAGTGTCAAAGTCTTTGGGTATTTTAACTTGTGTTCTAGATAAAATGCTTGCTCATGGTATCTTTTACTCTCTGTGTATTTCCACAGACTCCACTGACGACAGCACCTCTGCAGGTATTTCAGCTTTATGTAAGCTTTTCATGGATTTGTGTTATTTGCATCATCTGTCATTTTAGCATGTCCCATAACTAGTGAAAGTCCTTTTACCCTTTTACATATGTGAAAAGGCACCACAGAGGGCCTTTTAACAAATTCGCACCAGGCCACACACTAGTCCTCAAGACCCAGTGTTTTCATCATGAATTGAATGCTTCAAGCAATTGTGGTCTTGTGTTCAGCTAGTATTTTTACATAATACAAGTAGGAATCTTCCAATACGAGTGTCTTACAACATACCATACTGAGAAAGGATACTTTGCCTTGCATTGTCTTTGCGATTTGCCATTAAGATGTGTGTTTAGACCTAGCCATGTGCATGAGCTCATAAAGCATATGTAATGATCATCCTTGGCCACAGAGCTCAGAGGATTCTCAAAAATAACATTTTTAGTTATCAGCAAAAGCAGCTGAGAGTAAGTTTTCCTTACTTCCATTCTCACTCTATCCTTTTTGGCTCTTCTAAAAACACCAGCAGAGGAGCCAGCGCAGGTGCCATAATGGTTAAGGCACTGGACTCCCACATGGTCAACTGTGGTTCAAGTCCTGGACCCAGTGGCTTTAAAATCATGCTAGACATGTGTATGTCTATACCCAAAATTCCAAGAGGAAAATGGAGGAGAAGAGATTGTGGCATGGCCGCACTTTCGCTCTCTGTGTCTCTCTGGCAAGCACATGTACCCTATAGCAAAACAGCTTTCTAAAATTTTTTTTAAAAAACAAAAACACCAGCAGAATCAGTACCCTCGTCTGATGGGGTTTCTTCACTGTTTCTTACAGAAGATTTCCACTGTGGTGGCTTGCTCACAAATAACTCGGGCTCCTTTTCCAGTCCTTGGTACCCTAAAAAGTATCCCACAAATGTGATTTGTGCCTGGGACATACAAGTGGATATCAGGGCTCACATCAAACTCATGTTTGAAGTGGTAAAGTAAGTAGATATTTTCTACCTTTTTTAAAGAATTATTTATTTACTTAATCCCATTTGTTGTTGTTGTTATTATTATTATTTGACCAAGGAGAGAAAGAGAGAAGTGGAAAGAAAGAAACTGCCAGGTCTGGGGATCGAACCATGGTCAGCCATGTGGGAATCCCACACCGTAGCCACCACTCCACCTGTTGATCCCATATTCCTTACTTTTACTATCATTTTTACTTAGTTATGCACATCAGTTTTATTGCCTTCTTTCCTCACTACAAAGAAACGTCCATATTTAATTCTTTTTTTTTTTTGAGAGAGAGATTTTTTGCTATAGGATATGTGTTCTCACCAGAGAGACATAGAAACAGGGAAATAGAAAGCAAGAAATCATCCTCCAAAGGGGATGGCCAGGCTGCAATCCCTTCTCCTCCAGTCTCCTCTCAGGATCTTGGGCATACACATACACATGACTGGCATGAGTTTTAAGTCTCTAGGTTCAGATTCAAACCATGGTAAACTACGTGTGAATCCAGCAACATAACCATTATGCCATCTGCTGGTTTCTCATATTTAATTCTATAAAGCAAGCTAGCCCTTAAAATCTTAAGCTGACAGGTTTTTGAGATTTGGGGGGAGAGGTCATCACCAGAGATAGAGAAAAAGGAGAGAAAGAAAGGACCGTTGAATGGGACCTAGTCATGTAACAATTCTTTTTCCTCTTCTTCTCCTTCCTGTTAGGATCCTAGATGCACACACACACACACACACACACACAGCCAGTGTATTTTACCAGCCACTAGGGCTAGGATTAAATCACCATTGGTCATGTGGGATCCAGCTCCCAGTGCTCAGTGCTTAATCATTGCCATTGTGTGCCTGACCTGACCCCTACCTCCACATACAGATGTTTTAACCTAGCAATTCCAGCTCCAGGAATTTGGTCTGCAGATAAAGTTTCCTACGCACTGAGGATATTCATGGCATCATCATTCTTAAAGTAGTTATAGAAGGGGAATATCTATTTGTCCATAAATATGGGATTAGTTAAATAGATTTGGGTACATCACATATCACTGTCACAAATGGTGTGTATTGCTTGGAATGAGCTGAAAAAAAAAAAAGAAAAGAAAGAAAGAAAGAAGACAATAGTACAGCCTGCTGCCATTTGTGCCTGGCAGATGATTTAACAGTTACATCACTCGACTCCCACATAGCTGACTGCCGTTAAGTCCAGGACCCAGAGGACTAAAACTCAGATGTGTGTGCATGTGGATGTATGTGTGTGTTCCAAAATTCCAAGAGGATAATGGAGGAGAAGGGATTGCAGTGTGGCCATTCCCCTTGGGGGGTGATTTCCCGCTTTCTGTCTGTCTATCCAGGGAGTGAACATGCGCTATAGCAAAAAATCTCTAAGAAAAAGAAAAAAAGACTGTCATTAAAGCTGCTTCTGGGATATGAAATGAAGGGGAGGAACCAGTGAAGGGTGGGAGAAAATTTTACTTTTCACCTTATGCTCATTAATAGCACTTAAATTCTATTCTATGTGCTTGTAATAGAAACTCAGAAAATATTATTGAATTAAAACCATAAAAATAAAAAGATATTTAGAAACAGGATACTTATTGCTCACACCAACCAAATCACCATTTCCTCCAACCTGTGTGAAAAGATGTAGTTCCAGATAGTTTTTCCCAAACCTGGCCTGGGCAATTCTTACTGGGGTGGGGCGCTCCAGGGGACTGAGTCTGAATAATACCATGTTCACTTCACAGAATGGAAAATTTCTATGGCTGTCCATATGACTTCATTGAAATCTTTGATGGCCCACAGAGTGAATCCTTTTCACTGGGGAGGTTCTGTTCTGGAACAGTCCCAATATTTACCTCCTCCTCCAACCATATGACGGTGGTGTTCCACAGTGACGCTATCGTCACCAACATCGGCTTCTATGCCTCCTATGAGTCTCTTGTGCAAGATGAGAATAATACTGGTAGGTCCTTCCATCATTTTAGTCTCTGGCCCTGCTTGGGAATTATGGTGAAGTTGAACGGCCAATTCAGTCAACTGGACACTCGGAGTCTGAAAGGGATTTCCCAAGCTCCTTAGTTTACTCCCAAGATATGACTTGGAAAAACTGGCTGAATGCCCCACACTGCCGTAGAACAATGAATCCACAGCATCTGTGTTCTGATGCTAGAAGCGCATCACACTGTACTGAGAAAACATACTTGACTTACCTCTCTTGGAGGTTTCGCTGTACTTTGTCTTATTGAAAACGGCGTGTAATTTCCCCTGGCCTAAAGAATACATTCCACACTAGGGGCAGCAACAGTGCTTGCATGCTTGGTGATTTCCTCTTAATAAAGGCTTTCAGGGGCCCTCTTTGACCTCCTTGAAGGAGATAATCCAATAGTAGAAAAGGGTTTTTAAACCTCTTCTCTACTCCCCCCAAGTTACATTAATGTGAGAGATCAAAGCTAAAGCACTTTTGCAACTAGCTTTAATCCACAACTGTTCCCTCCTCAAGTATAAGAACAGAACCCTTAAAAACTCAGCAACTCGGGAACCAGCAGTTAGCGTAATGGCTATGCCGCTGGACTCCCATGTAGTCGACCACGGTTCGTGTCCCGGACCCGATGGCTTAAATCTCACGCCGGGCGCGTGTGCGTGCGTGCCCAAGATCCCGAGAGGAGAATGGAGGAGAAGGGATTGCAGCGTGACCATCCCCCCTGGGGGGTGATTTCTCGCTTTCTGTCTCTATGTCTCTCTCTGTCTGTCTGGCGAGCGCACGCGCCCTACAGTGAAAATCTCTCCAAAAAAAAAAAATACATCGTAGGGACCAGCAGATGGCGTAGTGCTTATGTCACTGGTCTCCCATGTAGTTGACCGCAGTTCGAGCCCTGGACTCGGTGACTTACAACTCACACTGGGTGCTTGGGTGCTTGTGCATGCACGACCAAAACCCCAAGAGAAAAAACCAAAAAGAAAAAACCCCCAAAAAAAAAAAAAAAATTTAAAAAGGACCCCATTTTTAAAAAAAAAAAAAAAAAAAAAAACTCAGCAACTCAGAGGAAAGGGGGTTTCTCTAACAAAGATAAAGGGGTAACCCCGGTGTCTGCTTTTCCCAGATGTGGCCCTCAGGCTGGCCAATGGCAGCCACCGGTGTGAGGGCCGCGTGGAGGTGTACTACAACGGCAGCTGGGGCACGGTGTGTGACGACGGCGGGGACCTGCGCGATGCCCAGGTGGTGTGCAGGCAGCTGGGCTGCGGCAGGGCAGTGGCGGCCCTCGGGCAGGCACATTTTGAACGAGGCCTGGGCCCCATCACTCTTGATGACATTGAATGTGTGGGGACTGAAGCCAGGCTGTGGCAGTGCCTGCACAGTGGCTGGTTCGCTCACAACTGTGGTCATCATGAGGACGCCAGCACCATCTGCTCAGGTGGGTCTTGATTCTGAGTGGACGCTGGGGTCGGGAGATTGGGGGTGGGGAGGTGGGCTGTTGATAGTCCAGCTCCATGAGCCCTTTGCCTGACTACACTTAGAGCTAGGGAAATCTGGACAGTCTGCATACCACTGTTCCCAGGAGTCACCATTCAGATATCCCTGCATGGACCCTGTGCCCCACCATGCCTACCTACTGCCCACACTGTACAAGGTTCTTGCAAAAGTTCAAGGACAGTATGTGCTACTAAAAAAAAGTTATGCATGGATTTCAAACATTTTTGCACCAAAATAAATGTGTACTTTTATTCTATTTTTGAATGAGCTTTTTGAAGTTTTCTCATAAATTGCATGATACTTTCCTTTAAATTGATTCTTTTTTTACTTAAACGAATTCATTGTACAAGGAAAGTTTGTATCACTACCATAAATGGAGAGCGAGATGTTTCTTGCTACAAATAAACAATACACAAAAACAAACACCCTGGCAATTAAACAGTGTTGAAAATGTTTAAAAATTAAAATAACCAGTGAACTTCCTAATCTAAATCCACACCCATGCATATCTGAAAATATCCTTAATCAGAGAGGAACTAAAAGTAAATTTAAAAATTTTACTGCAATAAATATGCAACTCCTCAAATTGAAGACGCACCACCTCAACTTGCTTTTCATCCCACAAGGATCCATCCCACTGGGAATGAGTCACACCTCTGGAACCATCTCTTTGGTTCAGTCCCCTCATTCTAGAGGTAACATAGAATCTTTCCTAACAGCTGGGAACCCAGCTCCCAGCCTAGGGCTTTTGTTTTTTTGGTTTTATCCCAGTTCCATTTCTGCAAATAAATTCAATAATCAGAGTCAAAAATGCCTGCCTATCACTGCATCTTTCTGGCTTTGGCTGGGAAGAGGCAAACTGGTTTATCAGCTAGACCTGGCAACACCTGAGATAGGATGAAGGGGCAAGGAGAGCATGGAGGTACTGGCAAGTTCTATGAGAAGAGAGAAGTTGAAGGAGAGAATCAACATTCTGAGCAAAGCAGGAGCTGAAGCCACATGCTGAGTGTGATGTCAGAGGTCAGGGCTGGGGGCTTAAGGACCCAAAAGGTTTGGAACCAGGACTCTGGGCAGAGGTGGGGTGCGAGGGTGTTGGGGGCCTGAGTGCATCGATGGGGTGCAGACTACCTGACAAGGCCCCTAAGCAGCGGCTCCGCATTCTCCTGCATCCCTCCTTGGAGCTCCTTGCTCAGTTCCAGAGCCCCCTCAGACGTCTTTTGGCTTGCTTCCTGCACTGAGATTATCAGTGTATGTTCCTGATAGAAATGTGGTTCTAACCCCTGAAGTGACATTTATTCTGGGAAGCAAGACCCACACCCACACCTAGAATGAATGACAAAAGTCAAATCACCCACCAAGATAGGTGCTCCACACAGGCATCATCACTAATGCCATAGTTGGTATAAATAAATAAATAAATAAACAAACACCCTGGCAATTAAACAGTGTTGAAAATGTTTAAAAATTAAAATAACCAGTGAACTTCCTAATCTAAATCCACACCCATGCATATCTGAAAATATCCTTAATCAGAGAGGAACTAAAAGTAAATTTAAAAATTTTACTGCAATAAATATGCAACTCCTCAAATTGAAGACGCACCACCTCAACTTGCTTTTCATCCCACAAGGATCCATCCCACTGGGAATGAGTCACACCTCTGGAACCATCTCTTTGGTTCAGTCCCCTCATTCTAGAGGTAACATAGAATCTTTCCTAACAGCTGGGAACCCAGCTCCCAGCCTAGGGCTTTTGTTTTTTTGGTTTTATCCCAGTTCCATTTCTGCAAATAAATTCAATAATCAGAGTCAAAAATGCCTGCCTATCACTGCATCTTTCTGGCTTTGGCTGGGAAGAGGCAAACTGGTTTATCAGCTAGACCTGGCAACACCTGAGATAGGATGAAGGGGCAAGGAGAGCATGGAGGTACTGGCAAGTTCTATGAGAAGAGAGAAGTTGAAGGAGAGAATCAACATTCTGAGCAAAGCAGGAGCTGAAGCCACATGCTGAGTGTGATGTCAGAGGTCAGGGCTGGGGGCTTAAGGACCCAAAAGGTTTGGAACCAGGACTCTGGGCAGAGGTGGGGTGCGAGGGTGTTGGGGGCCTGAGTGCATCGATGGGGTGCAGACTACCTGACAAGGCCCCTAAGCAGCGGCTCCGCATTCTCCTGCATCCCTCCTTGGAGCTCCTTGCTCAGTTCCAGAGCCCCCTCAGACGTCTTTTGGCTTGCTTCCTGCACTGAGATTATCAGTGTATGTTCCTGATAGAAATGTGGTTCTAACCCCTGAAGTGACATTTATTCTGGGAAGCAAGACCCACACCCACACCTAGAATGAATGACAAAAGTCAAATCACCCACCAAGATAGGTGCTCCACACAGGCATCATCACTAATGCCATAGTTGGTATAAATAAATAAATAAATAAATAAATAAATAAATAAATAAATAAATAAATAAATAAATAAATAAATAAATAAATAAATAAATAAATAAATAAATAAATAAATAAATAAATAAATAAATAAATAAATAAATAAATAAATAAATAAATAAATAAATAAATAAATAAATAAATAAATAAATAAATAAATAAATAAATAAATAAATATTTTTTAAAAAAAAATAGAAGGAAGGAAGGAGAGAGGGGGGAAAAAAGACATTACAATGTCTGACAGCAGGACAGAAATGAACTCAACAATCTGAACATCTGGTAGTTGTAACCTTGGTAACTTAAGGTCACTCTTCAATGCTAAGATTGTTTCCCCCAAACAAGCCATTGCAACCTTCTGATTCAAATAAGCAAATTCACCTCCTGGGTTTAAAAAGAATGGAGATAACCTACCCATTCTTTTTATGTCTTTCATAGCCTCTCAGCCTTACTCAACACCATCAGTTGCTGCGAGTTACCCAACTTCAGGTAATTTCAATAATTCTTATTAGTTGTAACTTAGCTTGGCAAAGTCACCCTAGGCAATAAGGTAGTGATTTAGGGGCCAAATGTCCTGGGTTGTCTTCCTCATGGCCTCATTAACCAGCTGTGAGCCCTCCAGCAAACCTCTGAACTGCGCCATTCCTCAGTTTTCTCCTCTAGCTAGGGAGGAGGATGACAACATTCTTCTCCGGAGGCTGTGTTGGGATTCAGTGGATCTCTCTGTACAGAGTGACCAGGGCCATATTTGCTGTACAACGCAACACACCATTTAGATGTCAGTCATGATCTTCTGACCTCGAAATCAACCAGAACACTATGGGGATTTATCTCTGAGAATGGCTTTCTCCTTGACAAAATTGTTAAGAATAAAGAAGCTGAAAGCATCACTTTTTAGTTTGCTCCTGACTCTGGACAGTAGTTGTTCTGTTTCAAATTAGTTCAACTACTCTTCTATGGCAGGTCTTAGAAAAAAGTAAAATGTGCAGAGAAGAGTTGAGAAAAAAGAGAAGTGGCCCCAAACCTTCAGAGGAAGCACAAGGATAGGTTATACTGAACAGCAGAGATCCTTAAAGGATTTTTTCTTGACTTTAAAGTATATATGTTTATTTTCAACTATCAATCTCCATACTTTGGTTTTCTTGAGCTTATATGAGCTGCATGTATCCTAAACATACACTAGTTGAGTGATTCCCTGCAGAGAAAGAGAATAAGAAGAGAATTCAGTTTCTACCCACAAAGTGTCTAAAGATAATCCACAAGATAGAGAGCCCACAGGCAACTGAAAGTTAAACATATTTGTTATTAACCAAGATGTATAATTTTCTTTTATTTCTATCTGTCCTTAGAATCTTTTCCAAAGCCAACAGAGGTGCCCACATCGACAGGTAATCCTTTCTTCTCTCTTCAGTTGCCTTCCCTTTGTAGTTTTAGTTTATCATTACTGTGGGAGGAAGCACTCCTACTGAGTACACCATCCATTTCCACTTTCCTCCACTGCCTCAAGCTGGCCCTACAAACGGCTGCTACTGGAAGAAGGGCTATGTTTGGATTCGCCCAGAGAATCTGTGACTGGAAAGTTAGATGAAAAAAAAAGCTGTGAGATGCAAGAATGGCTTTAGGTGGTTGGTTTGGAAGTCAACAAGTAGAAAGGTTGAGAGTGCCCTGCTGACCCCAGATATCTGCATGTCTCCATTTATGAGTTCACCTTGGCTGTATTCTAAACATGTCCAGCTTCTACTCCTTTTTATAATCATGCCCTTTGAACATGAGGGCAAGCCTGCAATGATGGTCTTTTACATTCCCTGGAGTATCTTCACACATGGGTTATACCTGATCCTGGGAACAACATGGATGGGAGCTATTGTTATTGTTACTTCATCAACATATGCAAGGGCACACAGAAGCTCTCGCACACACATAGAGGTAATATGTATGATAGATTCTCATTAAAAAAAAAAAAAAACCTGTGAGTGTCATAAACTAAGACTGCACAACAAACAATGAAAGGATAACTATGCAGTGGTATAGGTGTTTATCCAACTAGCCCAGGAACAACCATTCCTTAACCAATCATGACCTCAAATAACACACTGAGTAGTAGCCAAGACAAAAATTGAAATGAAATGAAATAAAGGGGGTGCAGTCACTGGTGTGGTGATTAAGGAAGCTGGATCCCACATGGCCAACTCAATGATTTGAGACAGGGATCTGGCAGCTTGAAAAACATGCTGGGCATGTGAGCATTCATGCCCAAAATCCTAAGAGGAAAATGAAGAAGAAGGAATTACAGTGTGATACTTTTCCCTGGAAGGCAATTTCTCACTTTTCTTCTCTCACTGTCTCTGTCTGTCTCCAGAGAGTGCATGTGCCCTGTAGTAAAACAACCCAAGAAACAAATCCAAGAAAAAATAAATAAAAAGGGAAGCAATTTTGTTATCTTCAATTGTCAGTGCACAATTCCCAGGAAATAGCTTGACTTTTTGGTGGTCTTTCCTCTGAGCCTTCTTGGATATCATTTTTTGTCATGTTTACTAAGGTCTGAATCTACGGCTGGTGAGCGGGTCATGCAGATGTGAACGCCAGGGCAAGGTCTACCATGCCAATACCTGGGCTACTCTGTGTGATGATAACATCCTCCACAGAGGATGCCTACGTAGTCTGCAGACCACTTGGTTGTGTCTGCCCTTCCAGAGGTCAGCTTCAACCCTGGCTCGGGGAAGATCCTCCTTGAAGATGTCAACTGCAGAGGAAAGGAGTCCTCCTCCCTGGGGCAATGCCCTCACAGAGGCTGGCTCACCCACAACTGTGGGCATCAAGAAGATGCTGGTGTCATCTGCTCAAGGAACTGAAAGTCTCCCTGGGCCAGTCATGGAGCTGCCCAAGCCTAGCCCAGAACTCTAGATAGATACTAGAAATATCTCTGTGCATAAAACTTTGTCCCATGTTGTAGACAACAGATTGTTGTTTGAGCTCTGAAAATATGTGAGCTGAGACAATCCACATAAGACATTTAGTCAAGCATCAAAAAAGCCATAAATACAAAAAAATATTATTATTTAGTTAGTTATTATAGCAATTTCCATCAAAATTATTGCCTCAGAGTTTCTAGCTGGGTGAGATAACCCACACCAGGCCGTGTAAAGTCAGAGGAAGCAATAAATCTTCCATGCTTGAGAATGACTGCAGCTTTCTTGCATCACATATAAACTGAGAAAGTGATATTGAAAATACTCTTCTATCCACTTTCCATGATTAAACCACCCTTATGTTTCTTTTATCTCTTCAGATTCTGCAGCTGCTGGACATCCAGGTGTCTATGAGTTTCTATCCATTTTATTTACTGACCTGTGACTGGGGTCCCCGTGCTGGGTCTGCCTTACTAGCTTTTATATCTTTGACAATGCCCTGAGCTCCCTTCCCTCCCCCCTCCCAGAAGGTGAAGACTATTTCCTGTTCCCTCAGGGGCCCTGCTATGCACCCAGACAATAGATGGTTTGGAGTGCTCACAGGGTGACTTTTCTTCTGCATAGAAGAGCTGCATTTCAACAGGACTTTGGCACTAACTCTTGACCCAAAGTGGTGATTCATGCAATAGAAGTGGTCAAAGAGGGTAGAAGAGCCTGGTGGTAGATGAGCTGGGGGCAGGCTGGACCCTGGGGCATGATCTGCTTCTCCACCTGCAGAGCCTATCTGGAAGGCAGCTGCTAAACTCTATGCTCCTGACAAGGCTCCCTGCCTGTAGGGTCATATCCTTACCATGCCAATATGAATTTTATTTCTTTTATTTTCTTATTATTAATCAGAATAACACACATGTTTATAAGCTACTATTGTGTTTTAAAAGATAACTATTCAATAGGGACCATTTAAAGGGAAACTCATTTATGTGATTTAGACAGTATTCAAAAAATATATGAAATTTCATTGTCTGTAACACACTTACAATGACTACTTTTCTCTTTTATGTGTATAGTTTCTTCAACTCCTGAAGAGCATTCGAATGTTTTCCATCAAATAGGTACTTTTCCTGTTCTTACATTGTGTAACTTGTGTCCCACCATTTGTGACCAACAGACATTATTTCTCATGGTCCTACTATTATATGGAATGAAATCTGTGCAAAGACAAGTTGGTAGGGCCAGCAGGTGTGGTGGTAGTTAAGGTACTGAATTCCCACATGGCCAACCAAGGTTTATGTTCCAGACTTGGCAGCTTAAAAATCATGCTGAGTGCATGTGCATGTGTGCCCAAAATCCTAGCAGGAAATGGAGAACAAGGATTTTGGTGTGGCCGTCCTCCCTAGGGAGTGATTTCTCACTTTCTCTCTCTCTCTCTCTCTCTTTCTCTTTCTCTCTCTCCAGCAAACATACACACCCTATGACAAAATCTAAAAAAAAAAATTTTTTTAAAGGCAAGCTGGTAATAAGGTCGATTCCCCTAGTGTTGGGATCTTTTCAAGGAGCAAACCTACTTACCCACCTCAGTAACATCATCAAAGGCCTGTATTAATGCCTAGTTCTAGCTAGTACTCTTGTACAAAGGGACTTTAAAAAAAGTTCATGGGAAAATGGAATTAACATATAGATTTATTTGAGTGTAAAAACTTTCTGAAATCCGTATGTATAGATTTTCATAGTCCACATTTTCTATGGATTTTTTTCCAGAGTGTATGTGCACATGAGAGAAAGAGAGAAAGCACACCCTCCCTCCAGTGAGGCCTAGTCATACTGCAATCCTTCCTTCATTTCTCCAACCTGGCAGGATCCTGGGCTTGCACACATATACCCACCATGTTTTTCAAGCTGGCAGAACCAGAATTCAAACCACAGGCAGCCATGTGGAATCTGGTTACCCCCACATAATACTTCACTTCTGTGCTATGGGGCCTGCTTTCCATGAACTTTTTGAAGACCCCCGCACAGGCCCTTCTGAAAGGGACCCCATGAACTAGTCCCAAACTCTAGGGTCTCAGATCCTGAGAATCAACGTCATCCATTTTGGGTTCAGAGTTCCATTTCACGTGACCTATTCCTTACTTTCTTGCGGCAGTGATGCTAATCTCTCTGCTTGAGTTTCCAACCCCCACCCACCTCTGTCATCCCCTAATAATTCTTTATGATTTTATAAATTCAAGTGAAGTAAAACTAATTTTTTATTTCCATTTAATTACTGTACATCTTTACAGCATACAAAAGGGTTTTCCCAGCATGAATGCCGTGGGCATCAATCAAGCATAGACACTACCATGCACATTATCATCAACGGAGAACTTGTCACCCTGTGTCGGTTAATCTTTTTTTTTCTTGGTGGGGATTTTCTTTTAATATTCACATTTTATTGATTCACAGAAGATCTTAATTAAAGTAAATACTTTCAATAGCAAGTGCAACTAATATAAATATATCTATGAACTCATGTCTGACTTTAAGCATAAAACTCATTTTGGTAGCAGATGTGAGTAGAATGAACGAACTATAAAGTAACACCTAGCTGAGGCCATATAGCTTCCTGCGGTCATTAAGTAAGTATTTTTGTTTGTTTTTATAATGTATTTTTTAATTTCCAGAAATGCAGTTTTAGCTTTAATAAATCAAAATCAAAAAATGTTAAGAAAAATTGCTTAAGACTTAAAGCCTGGAAAAAGGTTAGGATTCTGTTCAAATAGTAGGTAGATACTAAAAACTCAAATAACAGATATGGACAGAGCTAAAATGTAGTAACAAGCGCACTGTAATTTTCTTCTGAAACTCTTTTTTTCTCTCTCCATTCCCCCTTTTACTAGAGAGGCATAAACTTACTTGCAAAAAAAGTAAGTTTCGTCTCAATTTGGTCTGTTATTTGCACAAAGCCCAAGAAGAATACTAATTGATTTAGTTGACTTTGCTGGAACCTTTATAAGGAACTTCAGATTACATCTTTAAAAGGTCTCTGAAGTCTACTGAGCCAAGTCAGGAATTCACCATCTGTCTGACTGTGCCTTTAAGTACCTGTACCTGAAAAATTTTAGGGGTCTGTGAGGAAGTAACATAACATTCTTTCTTTCTTTCTTTATTTGTTTGTTTATTTGTTTATTTTTTGAGAGGTTTTTGCTATAGGGTGTGTGCACTCGCCAGAAAGACAGAGACACAGAGTAGCAGAAAGCAAGAAATCATCCCCCCCCCCCCCCCCCCCCCCCCCGAGGGGATGGCTACGCAGCAATCCCTTCTCCTCCATTCTCCTCTTGGATCTTGGGCATGCATGCACATGCGCCCGGCATGAGTTTAAGCCACCAGGTCTGGGACTTGAACAGTGGTTGACTACATGGGAGTTCAGCAACATAGCCATTACACCAACTGCTGGTCCTGAAAGTAACATTCTTTATTTACCTGCCAGGCAGAACTGTTTATGGTACCAGGCAATCTTTCCAAGAGTTTCTGTTGGCTTTCTTGAGATCTACATTAGTTCCTTAGCTTTGGACATGACATTCCAGACAAAGCCATGGCAATAACCAGTATTTCCAACTTCTGATGCAAGGTTGCAAGTCAACAGATATTATTGAACTTATGCAAATACAGTTTGTTTTTTTAAGAGAGATTTTTGCTATGAAGCACATGCACTCACAGAGAGACAGAGAGAGACAGAAAACGAGAAGTCACCCCTCAGGGGGGATACTTACACCATAATCCCTACTCCTCCCTTCTCCTCCTCTTGGGATCTTGGATATGCATACACATACACCTGGTGTAAGTTTTAAGCCACCAGGTCTGGGATTCGAACCACAGTCAACTACATGGGAGTCCAGCGATGTAACCATTATGCCATCTGCTGGTCCCAGAAAAACTATTTTTTTCCTGAGAATTTATGATGGTGGGACCAGCACTTAGTTCAGCACTATGTTGCTGAACTCCCATGTAATTGACCACAGTTCAAGTCCCGGACCCGGTGGCTTAAACTCATGCCGGGCGTATGTGCGTGCATGCCCAAGATTCCAAGAGGAGAATGGAGGAGAAGGGATTGCAGAGTGGCCATCCCCCCTGGGGGGTGATTTCTTGCTTTCTGCCCCTCTGTCTCTCTCTGTCTTTCTGGTGCGTGCACGTGCCCTATAGCAAAAACCTCTCTTTAAAAAAAAAAGAGAGAGAGAGAGAAAATTTATGATGGTCTTTAAAAGACCTGGGTTAAATATCCAATGTATGAACTCCAAGCACTTAGTTGTATTTTTTTTATTTTTTAGAGAAATTGAGGGATTGGAAGGTATAGTAGCAGGGAGGGCAATTATAGATACTAGAGACAGTGTAGGAGGGGATGGGTAATGGGAGTGGGAGAAAGTGGGTATGGAAAAGAAAAAAACATTTAACAGACATAAAAATGAAAAGTTATCTGTCAATGATAATGTATGTGGTAATATTTTTTACTTGACTGATATGCACCATATCAGTGCTGGGAAAAATCATTTTGTACACAGTGATTAAATGTAATAAGAAAAATAAAAAATAAATTAAAAAAAAGAAAAACAAGGTGTGAAACGGCATGCACAGGACATTAAAAGCAGAGTGTTATTTTTTTAAGTATAACATGCTTTCTATAAAGCCAGTCTATGGCCCATATTCCTATTCTAAAACTGCCCTGTAAAGAGAGGCATTATGGAGTCATACTAAACCTCAGACACAGAAAGCAGTCATATCTTTCCTTCTGCACATTTAATGCTCCTATAGATACATGGTCCCTCAAGAGCACACTGCAAACCAGGTTGGCATTATCTGACTGAAGTGCTATCTCCTTTGAGAACTGAAGGAATCTTCTCACGCTGACTTGGCTCTTGGCTCCTGCAGATCTGCCGGTGGTGAGGCTGGCCAATGGGAAGAGCAGGTGCGAGGGCCGCGTGGAGATCCTCCACAACGGCGCCTGGGGATCTGTGTGCGACGACCTCTGGGACCTGCCCGCCGCCCAGGTAGTATGCAGGCAGCTGGACTGTGGGGCAGCCGTGGCAGCCCCGAGGAGAGGTCTGTTTGGCGACGGCTCTGGCCCCATCTTCCTAGACGACGTGAGGTGCACAGGCAACGAGAGCAGCCTGGGGCAGTGCCGCCACCTTGGCCTGTCCGTCCATAACTGTGGACACCACGAGGATGCCGGAGCTGTCTGCTCAGGTACCTGAACTCCACAGAGACTGGTTTCCCTCCCAAGCAGCACAGTCATATTTGCAAGGCAGTCAACCCCAAACAGCATGGGGTCCCAGATGGGGCGACCAACTTGTCCCAGTTTGCCTGACTTTCTTGGTGTTACTACTGAAAGCTGTGTCCTGGGAATCCCCTCAGATGCAGACAACCCAGGACACTGGTCACCTTCGACTCAAGAAAGGAGATTCCTAATGTCACAAACTGTCCCCCTACCCCTAAAAAGAGGAGATGTAGGGACCAGCAGTTAGCGTAATGGCTATGTCGCTGGACTCCCACATAGTCGACCGTGGTTTGAGTCTCGGACCCAGTGGCTTAAAACTCACGCCGGGCGCGGGTGCGTGCGTGCCCA